ATATCAATTACCACAGTGTGTTTTACAGTAAACATGAAACAGTACTATCTTTAGAATCCCAATGTGAGGGTTGAAGTTATAGTTATCAAATTCTCATTTCAGAATGCAGTTCTCATTTCCTTAGATTTCCTTTACTCCAGTTGTAAAGTTAGATTAATGATAACTGTCTTTAACTTACCAGAAACTCATTGAAAATGGAAATACTTTATAAGCCACGAAGCTCAGAGCTACATAATACTAAAATTTGGACATGTGTGTCTTAGAAGCACGTGGGTTGAATTTAAATTCAATAGACTCCATGGAGTAGACATGGTTACTATTATCTGAGTTTTAGAGTATAGCAAGATTAGTTTCTATAACTAAAATTAAATGATTTCAATTACTTGTGACTGATGCTTTGACATATAAAGTATAAGTTGCTAATTTTCATAAGCAAAACTTCCCTCCCCTTGGTGGCAAGCAATAGATTCCACTGAATTGCACTAGGTGAGCATTGCATTTTCCATGGGAGGAGCAGGCGTACAGGGGCATCCGGACCTCAGGAAAGCTAGAAAACCAGGAGGTAAAAACTATCAAAAGCACTTATTTTTTTTTCTGTGTATACTACCTGCTTTATTCTCCAGTGCTCCTAAAGATTGGTTATTACTGCTTCTTACAACACATGTGATCCAAAACTGGAACCCTCAGACACATTGCTTCTTCAGTTTCAAGTTTCTAAGCTAGCAAAACCAGTAGTACTGGATCCAAAACATAAACTCTCCACTGAAATGAACCTCACCGGCTCAGAACCTGCTATGAGGGCTGCACCTGCTATGGAATTTCTCAACTTCAAGGCTACAGACTTTTCTTTTGATCCTTGAGATAGTATCTTCCCAAGTTTCCCAGGCTGGCTTGAAGTTGTGATCCTCCTGTCTCAGCCTCCATAAGAACTGAGTTTAGCAATGTGTGCCCTTCTACCTGGCTACTATAACATTTTATATGGAATGAATCTTATTTGTTTGAAAGAGAGGAGCTCCTGTCCATACTGAATGTTGTTCAACAGTATCCCCAGTCTACCCTCCTAGTATCAATAGATGCGCTCCTCGCCTGCCTGCTATGACAACCAGAAATATTCCAATATTAACAAATATCCCCTGGTTCGTCTCTGGTTCAGAAACACATTCTGCACATGCTTTCCTGTGCTCTTTGTGGAGGTGCAAGCCTGGGATCCCAACCATTCAGGAGGTTGAGGCAAGAGAGCTACTGTGAGATCAAGGGAAGCCTGGGCTACATAGTGAGGCACTCTTTTAGAAAATAGAGAGAAAGAGAGAAGTGGGGGAGGTAAGAGAAGGGACGAGAAAAGGAGAGGAGAGGACAAGGGAAGGGAAGGGAGGAAGGGGGAGAGGAGGGAAGGGGGAGAGGGAGGGGAGAAGAGAAGAGGGAAGGAGGGGTGGGGAGGGGAAAGGAGGTGAGGAGGGGGGGAGGAGGGAGAGTGGAGGAAAGGGGAGGGGAGGGGGGAGGAGAGGAGAGGATCCTACTTTATGACCGAGAGTTAAATATTACATAGCTCATATTTGATTACAGAGTTCCTCAAAGGCAGTAGTTCTAAGAAAAAGCCATGTCTCTGCTTGCCAATTGTCAGGAGGGTTTTCTCTTATAAAAATAACAGATGTTGATGTCAAGTATGTACTTTGTAAATGTTGGCTATCATAATCATGCCTGTTCCAAAAAATTAAAAGTTTCAGTTATTTGAACACTATCAAGGAAAGGAAAATAACTTTTGGTCAAATCTGGAGAAGCCTATATATGCTGGCTTCCCATGCTACTTTTCCATACAGATTTGCAAGCTTGTTGTTGCTGTGTCTCAGTCACACACATAAATATATAACATATAGCTAGCTAACTAGCCAGACTATATATATCATAATCTAGTTATATTGCTCTTTTATATTCTATAAAAACATAAAAAATAAAGTTATCAATTGAACTAATTTCATTTGATTTTGCTCATGAATAGTATTGAAACTATAACATAGAATTTTCATCCAGCACAAGCTGCACAGGTTGCTCCTCCCTGAGCATTACATTTAACTAAAAACTCTGAAACTAATGCAAGAGGCACCTGAATGTTCTAGGGTAGACTGCGGATACTGCAGAGCAACATTAAGTACAGACAGGAGCTCCTCTCTTTCAAACAAATAAGATTCATTCAGTATAGAGTGTTATAGTAGCCAGGTACAAGGGCAAATATTGCTAAACTCAGTTCTTATGGAAGCCGAGACAGGAGGATCTCAACTTCAAAGGAGAAATCGGAGTGGCAAGCAAGGAGAGCACTTGGGTCTGGAGCAAGCATTTGAGGAGCAACACAAGGGCAAGGCATCTTAAGCCTCCCTACCGAAGGGAAGAAGGAGACCCAGCCCTGAACCACTACTTCCCAGATCTTCGCTCCATCCTTTCCAAGCCAACGTGGTGGGGATTCCTGTCATGGTGCCCAGCACTAACAGTAGACGGCAAAGGTAGCCTCCTTGACTACTATTTAACTGAAGTACAAAGATAAAATAGGACTTAGACCAAAGCTGCTTGTTTTTAAGATAGATAGAAAACTCAGTAGATGTGTTTCATTTTGTTTTGCTTCTTTGCTCATGAAAGACTGTAGATCTTTGTGTACACCAGTGGTTTCCATGGTTGTCACTTTATCAAAAAATGCTGCAATGACTCTCATTTGTTTTAGAAATCTGAACCGCTAACAAATGGCTATGTCAATGTCATCTTGGCACTGTGTACTTCCTGTTTTTAACTTCTTTGCTATTAAAACACTGTCTCCAAGCACTGTAGGAAGTGCCTTTTAGAAAGCAGGCTAATCTTACTATAGAATCCTTTTAAAGATCTAAGTCAAAATATGCCTGCTAGATAGCATTGTTTCCATTAAATAAGTTAATTTAAATCTACTGAGATATTCTTTTTGATCTAATCTTTTGACAAGGACCCTAAAATTTGATAATGCATTGATTTATCCAGAGAATTGGAGAAAAAGCTTTCATTCACATTGCTCCTGGTGGAGGAGACTATTCTGAGCTTCTACAGAGAATGAAATCTCCACATTGAATGACCTCTACCAAGTTACAGATACATCTGTGTGGCCCCTACAAGTACCATTTCTAAGAACTAATATACAAATAATTCACATACAAATGCATGGAGTGAAACGAAGTTTCCGTAGGCTACAGTTCTGATGTGAGATCCCTAAAGAGTCGCCTGAGAAAGACTTGGTCTACCAACCATGGTATCATTGACTGGTGGTCAAACTCTAAGTTGGGGCACAGCCTCAGGCCTTAGTCAATGGCAGTATGTCCTTGCATGGGGTTGTGGGAGCCTGTCCTTGCCCTCCTTTTTGCTACTCTACCATGAGATGAAGAGTTTTGCTCTGCCACATTCACCTGCCACAATGTGCTGCCCTGTGACAGACCCACAGCCAAGGGGCTAAATCCTCAGTGACTGCAGCCTCCAGAACTATAAGACAAAATAGCTCTTTTCCTCCTCATAAGATAACTATGCCAGGTACTGGATTAAGGTACAGACAGCTGATGATCAAAGAGGTCATCAGCTAATATTTGTATGAAAATGGACAGAACATGTCTTGGGTGTACATAAATTATCTCTCTCTTTTTTTTTTTTTTGTATCTTAGGGAAGGGTCTACAGGGTATTCAGGGTCTCACTACTAGATCAGACTCCTAGTGATCCACCTGTTTACAGCCTCCCAAGCGCTAAGATTACAGGCAGGCACCACCACGCCCAGTCTCAATTGCCATCTCAGTGTGTCCTAGGGTGGGGCTGACACAGCAGGCCCAGAATCAAACTCCCTTCCCCTGTGCCTACTTGTAGGTGTGTTGCTAAAGGGTGGCTGAAGGAGAAACATAGGCCACAGATGGGAAGATACTCACTACTTTGTTCTCTTAAATTTTATGAACTTGGAACATGAAAATGCTCATGAATTTTAAAATAAATTTTAAAAATCATTGAGAATATATATTTCCTTATACTTTCTCTTTGGTGATTCACAAAGGTAATTTTTCTGTATTTCTTTATTGAAACAGAATGTAGCAAATAGCATCAACTGAGATAAATTAGAAACCTCTAAACTTTCATGCAAGTATCTAACAGATTATCACAATAATTAATATTTGCATGTTAATATATTCAATATATTTTCTGTCTTCTAATAAAGAATACATTCAAAATTGTTATTACACTGTACTCTATACATCATTTCAGTGGTTGGTATTACAGCAAGAAAACCAGACATTTACCATTTGTAGACAGCATTTTGCTTTCCACCTTTAAGAAACCATTGGTCCAAAAGATGAGCACATCGTCAGAGCTCATTGGAGTATAATATGGATTTAGGAATACTGAGAATATTAGATATTTGTCGTTATCTTCAGTGCACTTTATTATCAGATGTTACAGAAATGATAGCCTCCTACTTTTAATAGTTCATGGCTCACCCTAAGACTCATGTTCTAAGAGCAAGATTTCACTGATAACAACAGTTGCTCTATGTCCATAATTCAGTTTCTATCCCTGTGCCCTGAACAGTGCCTGGAATGTAGCAGATCCAGGGTACACTGGCTTTCCTGTCTCCTCCTCATCAGTGGATGGTAATGAAGGCACTCGGCTCAAGGAGGACAACGCCCATTTACTTGCACTTGAACTATTTTCATTTTGCCTGCATTTCAGTTTTCTACTTTTACAGATACTTACATTCTGAAGTCACAGTTCGTGTCCCTGTCACTATGTAGCAGAATCATTAACTCAGAAGCCAAAAAATATACAAGAACCAGATTACGTATTACATTTCACGGGAAAGCAATGGCATTAAGCAGCTTCTTCCCACAGAAGCATCTATCCTGAGAAGGCAAAAGCTCACTGTCATAGTTGCATGCTCACAATTACTGAAAGAATCAATTGCTAAATATTTTACCCACTGCAGGCCTATGCCTTTCCATGGGTGCACACTTACACGTCTGGCAGTGATTTTCTGTAGGTCCCCAGCATCGGCCTGAACAGGACTTGTGGCAGTGTCCACCTGTGGAGAGGGCAAAAAGGAGACAATGCTGTGATCTACATAATAAAATGTCACTCCTGGGTGAGAAGTCACTTCTTTTTTTTTTTTCTTTTGAGTCAATAACATTGTTTTATTAGGATGAAGAAGGCTTTGGGGTACATATGAAATTTGGGGATAAATTGGGTCACTTATTTCAGATATTTGATTTTCTTTTTTTTTTCTGTTTTTTTTTCCATAATTTTATTGAGAAACAAAGAGTAATGAGACAGTTTCAAACCAAATTGGTAGGTCAGTTTCAATA